AACTTATTCTTCTTAAAACACAGAACAGTAAATAAAGAAGTATAGCAAACAATTATCTCTTCTAGTTATGAACATTGTACTCATTTGCTGCTTGCCGTAGGTTGCTAAGACTTGTCAAATATCGTATGTGGTGGATTTGAAATGAAATAATTTTTTTATGTTTTATATATACATTTTGAAATAACCAAAAATCATAAATTACAATATAAATACCACAGAATTCCACTACAATTTATCAAGCTTAGTAACTAAGCTGTACTTGGGTCTAAAAAAATATTAAATTTTGAGCTCACTAATGTCTTACCTTACTGTTTGGAATCTAGCATTAAAAGAAAGTTTGCTGCTCAGATATTTCAGAGGCTGAGAAAATCACTAGGAGGGACATTCTGAGCTTTTGATTAGTTATGCACATGTCAATGAGCAAAGTAGGCAAGTAGGTGTACATAAACAGGTATTTTCAAAAATTGAAGAGGTGGGTGGAGCCACCTCGGTTTATTCAATAAATATATCAATATCTCAGAAAAATAAAAAAGATAGGAGGTTCTTATTTTACATTCTAGCTACTCAATGTCAGTAGTATGAGTATCTAATCCATAAGAAACTACAGACTTTGTATTTGGACATCACAAACATCCAATTTGACCAATGCTACATTCGACATACACACAAAAATTGATATTTAGGATTTGTTTTTTTAATATTTACCTTTAAATGAAGAAAATAACTAATGTATAATACTCAAATTTGAGTTATAATCTACAGTTTGACAGCAAACTTATTGATATACATTAATAAAATTGTAGTTCTAAAATTTTGAAAGCGAGTTAACAAACGCAATGATATGGCCTTTGACCTGTATCGGTAGGATTAATAGTTGTTTTATTTCATTAAAATAGAAAAGTGTAAAAACACAAACACCAACCTTTATTTTTTATTCCTGCTACCTCAAAATTGTTTCAGTGAATAGCTTCATTTAATATATATCTTGGACACTTCCAACTATTAAACATGGGAACATTACTTTAGGTACTCTCATTTTGCCAGTAAAAAATTATTTTTAATAAATGTCCTTCAAAATAAATACTTAAGTAATATTCTTTTTCAGTTAATTTCTTTAAAAATAATTTACAGTATAACTATAAACATTAAGCCAAACAGAAAAAGCCTTTTATAATAAAATCTTCAAGAAGAACAGACATGAAAAGCAGTATGAACTTACAAGTCTTCCTCTCCCTCTTAACCTGTTTCTTTGATTTCCTTGATCAATCATACCCATTCTTTCATTCCTGCTGACAGGTTCAAGTAATCCCATCATCTGGTTCATACCCATTCCTCCATTACTCATGCCAAATCCCATACCAACACCAAATCCACCACCAGTTCCTCTCATTAATCTCTCCATATTCATCATGCCTAACATGTTGCCAAAGCCCAGACCCATTTGGTTTACTCCAAAATTTGGTCCTCCCTGTTGCCAAGGGCTTCCATTATAACCTCTGCGAGACATTTTTGTTCCAAGAAACAAAGATTAAGAATCTGTAGAAAAGAAAAAAAAAGTCATACTTATTATTTAACATCTTGCTCAGTTAAAATTTAACTATATTTCACACCAGGTAAACATTCTAAGGACCATATACCAACTTGTTTCAATAAAATAAACTTTACACTAGTTACACACTGTATTTGCATCCAAATATCAAATTCAATATAATACTAAGTAATTTGTACACAATGTTAGAGTTCATGAAATGTGCATTATTACAAATAAACTATCAAAAAATTTTGAAAATACCAAGACAAAACTAACATTTATTTCATAATTTGGAATCCCCTAATTAGAAATGGTTTATTTTTCCTCACATGTGGACTCTTCTAACATGTTTCACAAAGTCTAATGGAAAAAACATTTCTAGGGCCAATGTGTCATTTTCAAGAGCTTAATTTATTGATTGTAACAGAATACAAGCTTCATCAAAACTAACTACTGCTGTATTTTATAAGAAAATCCAATCCAGTAATAATTATATAGAATTTTCTAGCTATAAAAAAACAGACCATGAAACAAATCATTAAAATAAATACTTAATGACCATACATCACTAAACAAAGCACTAACATTTCATAATTTGTAATCCTCTAAGAATACTTAATGTTTCCAAACTTTAGTTTAATAAGAAGTGTTAAAACATTGCATCTCTCTCTCTCTTAAATACCATACTCTAGCCTGAACTAAAAACTCCTCTAAGTTATAACCAAAATCAAATAACATTTACTAAACATATTTTAACTTGCCAAAAGAACAACTCAACATGTATCTGATTGGCTAATGAACATACATGTCAAAGTGACAAGCCAATAAAGCAAAGATTCACACTAGTATTGGTACTGAAACCATTCTCATACTGTTGCACACTTAGACAATGTTTTATATCTTGTTTTCCTATACAAATGCATTTAATAAGTTTTGTTTTCAATACAAGTTTTCTTGTATATATATATAGAAGATATTTAAAACAAATATTTTCAAAAATTATGTTGTTAAAGGGCAGAGATTTCTTTAAGAACCAGCTGCCAGCCTAAATGCCCAGTTTAACCATATGTTGGACCGGTTCAGATTTCTTTTATAAATTTTCCAGTGTGTGTTTGTGTGAATTTACTTGCAACAGTGAATCTATTCCGGTTATAAATTTTTTGTCTATACCTCAGAAGTGAATACAGCTTCTTGTTGATTATGCCAAATACAATTTTTTTTATAACAAAACATTATACAGACTGATCTTCATCAAGTAGACATTTGAATGCAACATTGATTATTGCCAAAAGCATCTCTTTTAATTAGAAAAAAAACAAAAACATTATGGCCTCTAAAAAAGACAAAATTGGATTATTTTGGCCCAGTACATAACCAATGAAAAGGTTTTTGTAAAGAAATCTGACAATAAATCTACACCACTTGAGCTTTTTGCCCTAAGGATTGAGATCTATGGTTGATGTATTTCTTTAAAATATTAAAAAACTTTTGCTCCACATGTGGATGCTTGACAATTTTGCAAGATCTAATTTTAATTGAAATTCAGCATACATTCTAAAGGAGTCGGTGAATTTTAAATGACTAGTACTGTTAATTCTGAATGTAAACTTTAGTACTCGACAATATTAATTTCTGAAGTAGTGCTATAAACAAAATATAAAAAGTAAGCATTTAAAATTTTAAAAGACACTGAAATATTCCAAATATTTTTGTTGAAACTCGCATTTTTTTAAATTTTGCCTTTTTAATCTAGAGAAAAGCCATAATTTCAGCAAAACTTTGATGACAATATTGTCGGCTATAGAGTTCTAGAATCAATGTGATGGAATGAGCATGTACAGAACATGCTAGAAAAGAATTTCTCAAATGATGATCAAGGGAGTCGCAAGCAGATTTTCAGGGAGGGAGGGAGGTCACAAGCTATTTGCATTGTGTCAACATTTTTAGTCCTTGAGGTGCACATATCAACTTTGTTGTGGACTATAATGAACTGTTCTTTCACCCTTGTAGAGATAATATGGGTCACAACAACCAAAGCCTAGACACCCGAGTCATCTGGCAAATCCGGCTGAGAAACACTTTTCTCGAAGAAATACATTAAACTACAGATAAGTGGTCATACAGTTGCATTTATTTTTACTGAATAATTGAAAATATCCCTCATGAAAAAGTAGTCCATTACAACAATATCAAAGTTTCATATTATTTGATCGAAGTTTTAAAGAGAACAAGATAAACTACAGTGAACCAACTGTTTAATGATTGTAAAATGGACTCAAAATCCCATAGATATTATATAAACTTCACCATTATGAGAGGCCTAAAAGTATTTATTTGGTTTGCTGACCCAAGCTGTGCCGATGAGCCTAGAATAGATAAAACTGCAGTACACAACAGTGGATAAGGCTAATCAAGGAATGTATTAGGCCTCTACATTACATATTTTCTTTTCAATTTCTCCTCTGATGGAAAAAAAAAATCTTTAACACATATATACATTCATTAAACAGTTGGTCTGCTGTTTAATATGGAACAATGAGTTTGACAAAAGGTCATAACATTATTCTCAAACTTAAATTAACTTAGGTTACTATATGGTGATGTAAAACAGAATCAAAACTGCATATACAAGATAAACTACAATTATACTTTCATTACACATTTTTCACCATCTATGTGAACTAAAAACTTGTAACACTTAAAGTTTTGAAAGTGAATAAAACTTAATTTGTGGAAGTTGTAATTTTTTTTTTAAGTTTGTGATTGTGAAGCTTAAGCAGATAAATGTTCAGAATTTTTGACAGTGAAGTATAAATACAATTGAAAAATTTTAAGGGAGGCAGTCTGTAATTTTTGAGCATTTTACAGTGCAGATGTTTAATATTTCAAGAATGTTCTATGGTCAGGCAAACTGCAGCTTTTGTAGAAATTATACCAAGAAGCTTACAATCTTTAACTAAATTTTAGACTATATTATGATTATATTTATTACTTTTAAGTTTCATTAATTTTTGCTCTAACAACAGATATTTAAAAATAGAATAAAAGATTCCAACAGAAGCTTTTTTAAACCCTCAAAATTGCTGAAAACCATTTTTGAGTGGGAGACTGCCTATAAAACCCCATTACCATTCTGCTATTTGGGCCTTTTCTGTCCAAGATTAGGGAAAACTTTGATCAAGAGTGCTGTTGTGTATATTCCTACGAATACAGGAGTTAAAGCAATGAATATGTTATAAAAAGGTTAATAACACTGCATCTGCCATACCCAAAATGTCATCACATGGCATGATAACTCTAAGTAAAACATACCATTTTTTAAAGAAATTTATTAATCTTAGATCTGAAAGAAAGGAAAATTAATAAAGAACACAAGTTCACAAAATAATGCTAATAACATACATCACAGTACTATATTTGTAGCCCTCATTGTCTATCTTAAAAGCAGAAAGTTGTCCCCAAAATATCCTAGCCTAGAAAAGCAGATTGCATGGCTGGATTTGTGGGATCAGTTTTGGGGGGAGGGGGGCTTTTTGGAATGGGTGGTTTATATTTATATAGGGTAAGGGCTATTATTTAAACTGCAAGGGATAAGCTGTTATTATTGAACTACTAGAAATATAAGAAATAAAATGTACAACTTCAGAACACTGGGCAGAAGAGAAGATTTTGATATAATGGGAATAACTAAAACTTAAATGTAGACTATTTTTAATGAAAGGAAAATCCGTGAAATACAGGGTCATAACAGTTTAAAACACAAAAACAAATTTATTTTATTTTGACAACCATAGAAAATCGAAATGAAAAATCTCAAACAATTGAAATACAAAGTTCCATAAATAAGGGAATCAGGAAAAAGACCAAGACAAAGAAAAAAACCTAAATCCAAAACAACAATATTCCGTATTTAGACAAAATCACTGCCAACATCAAGTAATAATTATCAGTAATACTTTTCAACTATATCTCATAAACTAACTTGTTGAAGCTCATGGCATGGTTTTTATTCAGTAGTCAGATCAAAAGATTACATTTCATGTTACAATAAATTTACATAATTCTTCACAACATTAATATTGTTTGTACATCACTGCTAGGGGAACTGGTATCTCACAATATATACATAATACAAAAATAACATGATCAGCTAGAAGATGAGTTAGTGCTTTAACGTAACTCAAAATTCACAGCTAAACTAAACTAATGAAAGAATAATAAATGAACAGTAAACAAAACCATAGCAAAACAAAAATAGAATTCACTACCTCACAGGGTTATAGGTTGTTTAATAGTGATAGAATATTAAAAAGAGGAGGATGAGTGGCTTTATATGTAAAATGTGGGTTACAGGCTGTTCAAATTTAAAATATGAAGTTGAATCTACTTGGGTTTTTGTCAGTGGTTATAAGGGGAGAAGGCTTTTAGATGGAATTTGTTACACCAAATGAAACTGATAAAATTAATGAGAAACTCTACAGTGACAAAGGATTCACTTGTTAATGAGGTTATAAGAGATTTTAATTTCATGCACATAAATTGAGAAATATCCGAGTCAAATCATAAGGAAGACAAGTTTTTAGAAACTATTCAGGATGGTTTTCTTCAACAACTGGTTAGGGAACCTACACTTATTGTCAACTTCTAATAAGAAATGATTGATAGAGACTGAGGAACATTTGGGTGTAAGTGATCATTACTCAATTAGATTTGATATTTTGCTGCATATGGAGATTAGGAATAATGAAATTTTGAAAAAAAGAATCTCTGAAGAGGTGTGACAAGAATTATCTACTGTGAACTTGACAAATGAATTCATTGAAAATACTGGTCAAATGTAGAAAAAATTGAAAAATTAATTCTTAAATATTCAAGAAAGGCATGTTCCTTATAGATATAAGAAAAGTAAAAAGTGTAAGTAAAAAATCAGGTTGACTTATAGTTGGTATAAAGGATGAAATTAAAGAAAGAATTACAGAAGAACAAGCGAGTTGATCAAATGAGAAAATAGGAAACCCCAAACTTATCTTATTTTCTCTTAAAATAAAAATGAAGAATCTAATTCAGGGAACTGATAGTGTTGATGCAACATTTTTCTTCATACTTAATGGTGAAAATAGTACGACTGAAGGACAAATATAAATTTTGGCAGGGTAATAGTCATCTTCAGATGTGATAAATACAGTTAAATTAAGGGAAACCTTGATAAATATTTAAATGATAAAGGATGGGTTTTAGAGTTTTGGTATTTAGTGGTAAAGATGGTCTAAATCAGGTCTAGAGCCATTTTGTTGTTTCGGCTAAGACCAAAACATTTCGAGATCCACAATATACCCTAACTGTCTAAACTAAGGA